AAATGTTTTAATTAACATTAAAGTTAGACTTTTTGCTTAAAGAATTCTTCCAAAACTCTATTCGAAAGCTAACCATTGCATAAAAACATGCAATCAGCAAGAAATTCACATATCAGGTTTTACCTGTTATACATAAAAGAAAAAGAATATATATTATAAATGTAGCACTTCATAAGATAAATTGAACACAACATGATGAGCTCTTGTTTTGCATCAAACATGCACCTGTTCTAGTTTTTGCACAAAAAACTGACAGATACTGTATGAAAATATATGTTTTTATGTATCATCTTGTCCCACGGGTGTGTAGTAAACTGTAGGGGTTGAAGAGGTATGTTTGGGTTCACTTTTCTATGTCGCTGATGTCGACAAAACCTTTTCTACATTTTTGAAGAACAGCAGCAAAATGTAACAAATATGTTTACTTTGTCTTCATGCCAAGCAGCTTCTACAGATGGGTTGGCCACCTTCATGGCAACAGCTCAAACAAGTTCTTCATGATAATTTGCTGAAAAAAAGAAAACGTTGGCATGACTCGGCTGCAATCTCTAGGTATCCTTGAGTTCTGGGTGCTAATGTGTTGAAACGAAGGAAAAATGTCAGAAGGAAAAGGAAATGTGTTTGCGGCGGAAATGTGTTTGCGGCGACACAATGAGCGTGATGAAAGCCTTCAACACGCCACTGACACACTTAAAGCATCACCAGTAAACAATGCATCTGACATCGGCTGCCTTCGCCGCTCTGAGCTACAAATGAAGCTGATTACAGTGGCCTTCTCGTTCCACAAACAAACCACCTCCGCATGTTCAGCCTCCATAAACAAAGAAGAATAAAAAAAAAAAAGCAACTTGTGTTTATTTGAAGGCATTTGATTAGCAACAATTACGGCCTTGGCACCAGCTTGTATGATTACTTCTACTCAGGGCTGTTTTGTATGTGTTACATAAGTAATCACCGCCGTGCAAAACCTGGCCGCCGTCTGAATGATGTGGCCCATTACAGAAACCTAGATGCGGTTTCGGCTCAACTTATCAGGAAAAATGTCAGTGATTAACAATTTAAAGTAACCCCTGAAACCACAAGGGGGGCGCGGGGAGTAGTTTTATTTGCATTGCTTTGTGGTTTGTTAATGGAAGAACAGGGCATGTTTAGCCATCATTTTAGACCAGATTTTATTTGGCTCAGAAAATGTACCTTTGCTTATGATAGCTGGCTAAAGCTCAAGCGGCGCATTGTTTTAAAAATAAAGACATTCTCCTCAATAAACTATTTATAATGTCTTGCGGAATAATGCATGCCACATACAGTTGGCATTTTTTCACCTGAAACATCTTTGGGGATTTACGTGATGGACCTGCACAAGGAAATGTGTAACTGTGGAGTGAAAAAGGTTATGTGGTTGTCATTTTGTTGAACAATTGAAAGCTAGAACGTGCGCGGCATGTTTTACATTTAACCCCCCGGACTCCAATTTTTGCAGAACCACATTTATCTGCAAGTATTTTGGGATATGTCTCTATCAGATTTGTTATAGTCTAGAGACATACATTTTGGCCCATTCTAGTTTGTGAAACAGATTATGCACAGGGTTCTCCTTTGGATTTAGGTCTAACCTTTAACTGGACCACTCAAACTCATAAATATTATTTATGTAAACCATTCCACTGTAGATGCGGCTGTATGATTAGGGTTGCTGTCCTGCAGTAATTAAATATCTGCCCCTGTCTTCAACTTTCCCACTCTAGCAAGTTTTTGTTGTTGTTTTTACCTCCGTCTTCCAGTCGTCAGCTTTATTCCCAGCAAAATGGCTGAATACAAATTCATGCTACTCTTGTCAGAATATTTAACAATTGTAGAGCACTTTTGAAAGCTGTGCTTCATTTTCCTAACACTTTAAAATTTGTCACAGCCTATTGCACAGAATCCCAGTAGAATACATTTAAGTTATTAGACACAATGTGATACAATTTGAAAATATCCTTGGGGTTTATATCATTTTACAAGACAAGGTCAATTCTGTAAATAAATCTCAGGCCCTTACTTGCTTATTTGAACACTTCTCACACATTTTCAAAGCATGCACAGAAAAAAAGCTATTATTTAATATTAGTGGCTGAAACATCCTCATCTTGAAGTCATACAAGGCTCAGTTTGTAATATTTCAGCCTTCAAAGTGACCATAAATGTATTGTTTTGTCGAGGGCTCTGTGCTCTGCTTTAAGAACCACGCCATTAGTCCTGTTTCTAATCCCAACATTTACAACTAGAATAGTGGGATCGTATATCTCTTGTGCTACAGAATCTCTCAGCAGACAGAACAAAGTCTGGATGTTTTTCACCCCACATGCAACAAATCACCGCTCTGACCCTTCAGTCCCTGCTGTAACTGCTTTGACTGTTTTCAGCTGGAACTGAACGCGCTTCTCCTCTGGAGCTTTCCGACATGTCAGCTGTTGCTGTCGCTGCGCATTATGCATTTGAGCCCTCCACTCAGAGATGCCCACAAGTCCTCAACCAAGGATACAGAGGACACTCAAAATACAGCTGGGTGCTCCCTGGGTTCATTAATGTCACCCGAGATGTCTCTTTACTTCTTCTTGCTCGGCTCCTCTGTCAGCCAAATACTGTCTGGAGAAGCAGCTCTGACAGGAGTAATTAGATGATAATCATGAGAGTGTGTGTCCTGAGTTCAAAACTGCTCGAAAACAGCAGAATGTGCCGCTGTTTGACATTTTTAAAGACAAAGTATATTTATTTATATTTATATTTATACCAGTGCGAGGCCTGTCTTGTATGGTTACAGTCTCGTATCGTGTATGTTTGTTTCTGTGGTATTGCTGCAAAACCTGTTGTTTCCTGGTTACAAGTTAAGTTGAACGTTCACAGAAATTATTTGCCCTCAAAACTGCTATTGCACTTTGCATAGATCCTCACTTTGACGCTTCTTTCATTGACAGTGCCTTCTCTCTCGATAAGTCAATTTTCTCAATTTTGCCACTGAGTGGACTAAAAATTTGAAGCTACAAATAAAATGGTGTTAAACATTCTAAGGATTTGCTCAAAAATATTGCTTAAGTCACTGAAAATGCCAACAACAAAGTTGACAGGTGACTTGTGTCAGTGCTTACTATCAGTGCAGCTAACCATTCGGAACGGCTCAGACAGCCTAGAACAGCAAACACAGAAAAGACAACCCGATAGCCATTAATCTTACATTTTTATTTGAAGCTGTCTTCACCATTTAATAGGAATGTTCCAATTATATATATATATATTTGCCTTGAATACTGATCTGACGTTTAGACATATCAAATAATGTTTCGTTACACTAACATTTTAGTAAAGTTAGTGTAGTGGACTTGTACCTATTGCACAAGAGTCAGTTCTAACTGGTCATGAAAACCAGACTGAAAAACAACGACTCGCATATTACAGCAGCGACTCGGTAATAGCATGACTATCTCACACTCTGAAGTTAAACCGAAGCCATCATTTTGTGTGCATGTTATCAATTGGGGTTACTCGTAATTCATAGACGGTCCCAGGCGAAATGATGCTCGACAAAATACCATTTGAAGTGGTGTATATAATTTGAACAAACATGCAATGCCATTTTCAAAGCAGAGCACATAAAAAATAAGTTGGGATTTTTTTTAAAGTAGTCAATCAAATGGTTTGCTGGGCTTTTTTACTGACATAAAATCACAAAGAGGCCACCAACAACTTGTACTGGTTGTTGTTGAATTTGGGACTCGAGAACTCTTGATACCAACAATTTCAAAATGAACTTTTCAGAGCTCTCAGCCAATACTTGGGATTATATTGCGACACCTCCAATCCGTTGGAGATACCTTCTGTTGATTCAAAATATTTCTGTGCAAATATTCACTGATTACCATCTATGCATTAACTCTACAGAAACCACCTGTCAGTGCTTGTAAATGGTGTCCAGTTTGCTAATTACTAGAACCACATTAAAACCAAGTTACTTTAGAAAACCTGTTAACTCAAAAACAACAAAGAAAACTTTTAACTCTGACTATTAGAACTAGAGAAGCGCACAGCAAATAAGAGTTTTATGATGTATGCCAGTGGTTCTGTGGTTCAGCACAGTATGAAATACCCCCCACAGATGTGCTGGACCTCTCCATTGTGATGAGTGCTCTTTGATTAATTTACCCCAAATGAAAGGCTTTATTTTTAGCCTGGCAGTGTGGACAGCTCAGAAAAGCTTTTTTTTTTTTTTTTTTTCCCCTTTTTGCCATTCTGTCGAAGATGGATTGGTAACAGCAGAGAGAAATGTGGTGCCTCGGTGATCATTTGTCTCTGCCTGTCCGAGGTGTGAAGGATGGAGTAATCACTAGGTTATTTCTGTCATTATTCGAAGAGAGTTTAGTGTTCATAATTAAGTAGCTGTCAGTTGAAATACATTTGATAGGAATGATACGCTTCTGTTTTTTTTTTTCTTTAAATAAAGAAATGAGGAAGATGAAACGGCAAAGCAGGATCAGCTTGACATCTAGGTGGACCGGATTTGTCAGTACTTGCTTCATCGATGTCAGTGCTGAACAATGCACACATTCTGCCCGGGGCATGCACTAATTGGCGAGATGATTGCTCTTACATGTGATGTCAAGGTTAAGACCAAGGAGAACATGAGAGGAGCATTTCATTGAAGATGATTATAACAAGGGACACTGTGCAGTGTTCAGTCAGTGAATATGAACTTCATTCCACATGCCAAGGCCATTTCTGCAAGCACGATACACAAGTGAAAGGCTGCCCAGGTGACCTCCCACTGTGTAAATTACAATTCTGCTGCTTGTTTAACTCTCTCAGGCTCAAATTACTTGCAAAGACTAGCTAAGTAGCAGTTAGTTGTTGCAAATCTGCAACATCTGCCTGGAGAGGGTTAAAAGTCATAAGAATAAATGTTTCGGATTAACTTTGATCTGAAAATCCGTTTGTCTGCAATGTGCTTCTTTCATCCGTCTCTGCAGGAACTATTTACAGCGGAATGCAAGTTCAAAGAGTCAGTGTTCGAGAACTACTACGTGATCTACTCGTCCATGCTGTACAGACAGCAGGAGTCAGGGAGAGCATGGTTCCTGGGGCTCAACAAGGAGGGCCAAGCCATGAAGGGGAACCGAGTGAAAAAAACAAAACCAGCTGCTCACTTCCTGCCCAAGCCATTAGAAGGTATGTGAGCTCAGCAAATGTCTTCATGGCCCAGACATTTCACTATGCAAATTTTAAAATATTCCTTTAGGGTTTTACTTGATAGACCAACACAACGTAGAGGAAAGGAAAGTGATACACAGTTTCAAAGCTGTTTACAATTAAGAATCTGAAAAATGTGTTGTTCCTTTGTAATCAAGTTTTAAAATTAATGTCCAAAAACATCTCTCTGCTCAGTCTAACAACACTTTAGCTAGCTGCAAAGGAGAGTGGGGTGAAGTGATAGCCTTTTGGTGTTCAATGTTAGGACAGTTATATCCAAAAAAGACATGCAGCTGTATTTGTAGTAAAAAGTAGGTCCTCAAAGTATGAACTCAATACAAATGCACAATGCACATTTTAGATTTCTGTGTGTAAAAATCCAGTCTTTTTTTTTTTCCCATTTCACAATAATGCACAACTTACACTGATGTTTGAATCTATAATGTGACAAATGTAAAACGTTTGCAGTGTGACTGCATTTACAAGACCTCGAGTCCATGACGGTTCAAATTTTCCATTAAAATATAACTCAAATGCGACCCTTGAATATATTTATCACAACACTCTTTTTTCCATTTTTTGCTATCCAACCTTCTGGTAAATGGATTTTTCAGAGGTCACCATTGCAGCAATCTTTACTAGCTGTCCCATTGACTGTGCAGCAGAGCACATTCCAGATATGTTGGTTGCTAAACATAGAAAACTGAAAATGCTGAGCATGACGACATTCATAATCCTTGTGATACACCAAGACAGCTGCCTCACACAATAAGACTTGATAGACGACTTACCGATGGTATGTCCGCTATAAACGAAACAACTGCATCTGACACGTATTAGTATTTGTATGCTGATTCACTGCACCACTGCTGGAAGGATGCACTATAGGAGGCAGAGGCAGCTCTGTAAGTGCAGCATGAAATGTTGATAGTCCTGCACATGCCACCATCACTCTCATCAGCCACCAGCCCTGATTGCCACCCATCATTCGAAACACGGAATCAAAGTGAAGTGTCTTGTCAATGTGGTAATACAGCTGGGATGTGCAAGCTGCAAAATGGGAGAGGGGACTTTTTTTTTTTTGTCAAAAGGCTGGTACTTAGATTTAAAGTCAGCCATGATCAAGGAATAAATGAATCAGAATGAAAGTATAAAATCTTTATGACATCAGAAAACCGCTCTTCTAAGTGTAGTTATGTTTTTGGAGTATTTAATACCAAATAATATTCAGGAACAGATCTCAACTCAATAAGAGAAAGAGGATGGATTATTGCTAACAGCTTTCATTTTGTCTTTCCGTTTGTTTCTCTCCAGTCGCCATGTACAGAGAGCCATCTCTGCACGATGTCGGAGAGACGGTGCCCAAAGCGGCCGTGCCTCCCAGTAAAAGCACAAGCGAGCCAGTGGTGATGAATGGAGGCAAACCTGTCAGCAAGCCCGACAAGCCAGCCACATAGCCACACCTGACCAGTGCCTGGTGGGAGTGCATGTGCGGGAGAGGAGGAATGTAACGGAGGCAAGATCTTTTTGTGTTTCTCCAGCTAGTCTCCAAGCCCCCCACCCCTTTTTTTCTGTTTTCCTGCGGATAACATCCAGCCGAGACTCCCTTTGCTTATTCTCTTGCTCCTCCCCCTACTTCCTTTCTCTGGCTCTGTCAGCACAGACTGACTCTGCGATGGCTCGGTCTATCCAGCACAGGAGGGAAGAAGACCTCTGATCCTGTAATGCCTTTAGATCCCTTTGAAATTACGAGAATTGAACTGAATGACACGCGGTTCACACTGACGCTTGATGCTGGCTTTGTAGGAAGAACCTCCTTCTCTATAATGCCCTGTCACAGCAGCGGCTGTGTACCTTCAGATCTATTTTCTATATCACAGTTCACCAGCTATGTTCTGGGATAGAGACTGTATAGACAGAGTAAATATTTGGACTGTTGTCCTATATTTTTTACAAGTATGTTCCCCTTTCCTTCTCTTTCTAATGCTGGTCAACATACAGTTAGTTTTTGTCAAAGGGAAACTAGGAAACTTTTTGCAAGAGGAGTTGTATGATTTTTTTCTAAGAAACACAGCAAACTTTAAAGCATACCAGTACACACTTGAAAGAGCCCAAATAAACATTCTTTTGTTTGTTTTGTCTTCGACATGCGTACACCTAGAAAAGCAGTCGAAGAAAGTTTGTGCAGCTTCTCAGCGGCTCATAAAAACACATCGGAGGCTGGCAGACGGCTCCCGTAATCATAGCTGATGAAGTGCTAATTACCGCCGCTGCAATCAATGCGAGGAGCTCCCTGTGCATGCACAAACACGCACGCTCACACAAAAACACAAATATTTCTAAACAGATGTGCGTGTGGGTGGGTAGGAGAGCGCTGCAAGGGATGGTGTATACATATCGCTATCTGTGTCCCACCAGCGGCTCAGTCCGCCTCCTCTGGTGATCGAAGAAAAAGGGAAAGGGAAAAAAGAAAAAAAAACCTGAAGTCTATTTTTCTTTAATCTTATTTCAGAGCGTGGGCTCTAGGAAATATCTCTAGGCCTTGTAGGCCTCAGTTCCTCACTCACCGACTTCTTTGGACATAGAAGCAAGGCTTGGTGGCTTCGACCCAGATGGTCTATAACTGCAGCAAATGGCAGCTGTGTCATGGCGGCATCTACTTAAAGCAAAGAAAACAACATGGCTGAAAACCAATAGGTCTTATTTATACGTGCTGCATCCCTATTTGGTTCAGCAATCTAAAGCATGGACAAGGTCACTATTGTTCCCACTTTGCAGCAGTTATACTACAGATGGCTTTTAGTGTGTCTGTGTGTCTGTATAAAACTTAGGGAAAATGACTTTTAAAAATCGTAACTTTTTAAATGACTAGATAATATATTATTATTATTATTATTATTATTATTATTATTATTATTATTATTATTATTATAAAAAGGATTTGTCTCCTAGCTCAGCATGCAGAGTCCAGTATTGATCATCTTGGCCTATCACGTGCCTGTTTGGACCTTGATTCCCGGCATGCAAAAACAAGATCCCAGTCCCCACTGGGCCAACGGTGCCTCACTCACCCGATAGATCGATGTGTAGGGCGCGTAGCATCATCCATTGAAAAACCCACACTGAGATGTGTTCATTCTGAAACAACCAAAGTCCTTTTTTTTCATCCCAAGAAGAACTTAATCTTAATAAATACAAAAAAAAAAAAAAGGAAAGAAAAAAAATTCAAATCTGACTCGCTCTCAGATTTAATCCATCGAAGCTTTCACTGTGACAGCATTTGTTATTCGTTTGGAAGAATCAACTCCTCTTGACCCGCAGCGGTCTTGGCTGATGTCACTTTTTTGCGAGGGAAGTACGTATAACCTAAATTACTCATGTGCATGTGTTTTCTACCGGAAGCAAGGTATGGGGTCATTGTTCTCCGCTCCGTACGAGCAGGCGGCGCGCCAAGAGGGCCTTGGATGGGCATGTTGCAGGCATCGGCACGCTCATGACTAATGTGAAGGTGATCCACTGCACTTTGTTTTGCATTTTCGTCACGACTGTTGGTGGGTTTATTCATTATCGTTATCTTGCGTTAATCATTTTTCTTTTGTTAGATACGATTTTATGATAGGAAGTAGATTGTTGTTGCTGCTGTGTTCTGCTAAAAGTGTAACCATATTACAAAAGTTGTCATGGTAAACATATTTTTCAGTTTGTATTTTAGTTATACATGTTCAGTTTGTGATTACTACTCTAGCTCATCAAGTGTCATTGACACATACCCATGTATTTGTAAAAAAAAAAAAAAAGAAAGAAACGACAAAAAAAGCAGTTCATGCGACGACAAAATCGGTGCGCTGACACACACCTCCACACACAGAGGCTGCCAATCGCTGAAGTTGTATGCAGGGCGGATGTTTTTGCCCTCATTACAGCCCATCATCCTCGACTTCTACAAACTCTACATGCTGGGCTGGTTACATGCTCTGGCCACGCAGTCCAGATCACTGGTTCTTTCAAGGCTGAAATTATTTTTGTAAAGGACTGGTGTGTAAATGTACATCTGTTAAAATCTCTGGTGTTTTTTGTTTGTTTCTCATCTCTCTCGTGTACGGATTGTGTGTGTTGCTACTTCCAGATCCCAAATGGTTTTGCTTCGTTTTCCTTGTAATCATGTTGTTTTTTTTATTTTTTGTTTCTTTTTTTTGTTGTTTTTTTTGTTTGTTTGAGGAATATTCTCGAAAAGTCAATTTGCAATTGCAATCAGAAATATTCAACCCCTAAAAGAAACTGGACCCACGTGATTGGAAGATAATATTATCATGAATAAATATTTATTGGAACATTTTTGAGTTGTGTTGACAGTAGAAGTCATTAGCTGACCCGTTGTCACATCAGGTACATAGCACTGGCCCATTGGGCTTCCTACCACAGAAAGGCAGGTCTGCAGCTGTCCCATATGTTTTAAACCTTTTTATAGTGCTCCCAATGATGTCTCTCAAAATGTTTCTTTAAAAAAATATATATTTTGTACCCAAGACCCCTCAGGTGTGATGAAACAATCGCCCTTCTCTACTTTTATGAAAGCTTCTTCGTCTCCTTTGCAATCATGTCCCAACTTACCTTCATGGGCGGTGTGAACGAATGCATTGTTGCCAAAGCTAATGGGGAATTATAATAAAGCTCTTAATTATGGTAAACGGGCTTGATGATGTTTCTACTTTATTAAGCAGTCGGAGCTTCTACAACCCAAACAGCACTTCCTCAGGCGTTGCATAAAGGTGAGAGTTGCCTTCAGAGCGTCAAAAAAAGAAAAAGTGTAATTCTTCTCTCAAACAAAACTCAATTCTAATTTCTAAAATCTTCATGAGGTTGAATAAATCTCACTGCAACTGTGACTTTTTCTTGATTTTGTAACCTTTTGTTTTGTATAACGTTCCATCTGTTGCATGGGGAGAGGATGGCATTGATGAACTGCATGTAGTAGGCTATGTCTATCAAGAACTGTTGGTATGTGCCGCAGATTTTACATAATATATGCAATGAGTTTGTCTACACTATACAGTTTGTGTTTGTTGTATACACGTATACAACATGCTGAATAAAATATTTATATAAATGCCTACTGTAATGTCGGTAACTTAATACCTAATGCAATATAGTGTGCAGTATATTATTGCACTTGTCATTTTTGAGAGTACAAAGAAAACAGAAAGGGTTGGCTAGTTTAAGCATGAAAAAAAAAAGGCCAAAGTAGAAATAAAACCTTTTCTTCATGACCTCTTATTGGTCGTCTTTTCAAGTGCTGACTGAGCTCTTTTTTGTCGATGCAGCTCCCATCCCCTTCCACCATGTTTTGAAGTGACATGAGCCATCAAGCATGCCACGACTGAAATATTTATGCCCTCCACTTTGTTTCCTCCACCTTAACCTTCTCATTGCGAGGATAGTGTAGATTTACATGATGGGCAGTTTGTTTTGGGTTGATTTCCTGGGATGGAGTGGAACATACACTATTAAAATGATTTGTTTTCAATATATATATATATATATATATATATATATATATATATATATATATATATATATAGTATACCATTGCAAGTATGCTCATTGGATTTATGTCATGTTATATTAAAATTTGTAACCATGTATGATTAAGGTCTTCGCATTGTTTTCCATGCAAAATGATGTGTCATGCAGCACATTTAATGTTTTATTATGAAAAAGAAATAAAACACTTCAAAGAGTAATCAACAGGCTTTCAAGAAATCTTTCAGTTGAAATTAGAAATTGCAATTATCTACATTACATGTCTCACCATTGGTTGTATTTTTAATGTACTTGCATACTAATGTAAAGAGCAAAAAATAAGTTGGTATATATATTTTTTTACTGCAACAAACCCAAATGCATTTTATCAGGGTTTTGTGGGATAGACCAACACAAAGTATGTGTATTTTTTTTCCACACAGACTTGTGAAAAGAAAGGATAAATAGTTGCAGAAATATTTTACAATCAAGATTTTTAAAATGTTGGATGTGTTGTATAAAGAGAGGATACAGCCTTCAAAGCAGCTGTCCTCGGTTTGACACTTGGTTCATTTGCTGCATGTCTTTCCCGTCTCTCTCTGCCTTTCTTTCTGTCTAAGTACAGTTAAATAAAAGCCACTTGAGCCTCCAAAAGTCTTGAAAAGAAGTGTTCCATGCATTAACCCCATTTTATTCTAAAATAAAGTCAAGTCGCACCAAATGCAATACTAATAGAGACCACTTGTGTTTCGATCTCAATATAAATTCAGCTGATCATTTAAGGTCTTAGATGTTGGATAGAGAACATTAGAGGTTAAGCAGCATCCTGAAAAACCAGGGAACACAGGTCAGAGATAAAAATAAATAAAAAAATCAAGTTAAAATCACAATTTTTCCGAAACAGTTTTTGGAATTTGAACATCTGACAGAGCAAATTTTCAATTCAGGATCCAAACATGGAAATGGTATGGCACAACTTCAAACGTACCATGACGTGGCCATCTGCTCAAACCAACAGGTCGGACAAGCGGAGCATCAATCAGCAGGTACAAGGCTCATGGAAACTCTGGAGAAGCTACAGAGATCCATAGTTTAGCCGTGGGATTCAGTTGACAGCATAACTATTACGCATGCACCCAAATTTGACTGTGAATTACAGAGTAGCAAGAAGAACGTTGATGTTAAGAGAAGGTCATAAGAAACCCTGTAAACAGTTCCCCACAAGCAAACAAGTGGAAAAAGGAGCTCCAGAGGATTATAAAGAATATCCTAAACTGACTTGGGGCTGTAACTGTACCAAAATAAAGGTCTACAAATGCATACTCGACTTGCTCGCAGACTTTTATTTGGAAAAAAAAAAAAAAAAAACTCAGCACCATGTGTCATTTTCCTTCCACTATACATATATTCACGACATTGCGTTGGGTCAGTCGCATTATATTCCAACTGAAATGCATTGAAATGTCTTGTGACAAACTGCAAAAGTTCAAGGGGTGGCAGCTGAGTGCTGCCATCTCAAACGAGGAATCTCTCAAATACATGAAATACAAATCTCTCAAATACATGAAAAGCAGGTCTGAAAACATAAACGTTTACATTAGAATATGTTGGCTGTTTCTTTTAAAACAATATACAGTTTTAATAAGCATACTTTGTAACCAGTACAATTGAAGACAGAGCAATATTACTACATTATATTAGTGTTATGCAGATTTACATCTATGTTAAGTCGTCTCTCCATGTGCTGCCTGGTCCTGAATGCTGACGGTCCTCCTGGTGTATCGGGACATTTGGAAGCTCGAGTTCTTGACCCCAACTTAATGTCCTCCTCAGTACTCGGCTCCTACCCAGATTTCGCAGGCATTTCCTGTCCACCCGTCCCAGCAGTCACAGTTGCCGCAACTGCAAACGCCGTTCCCTGTGAGATGATGGAAGGGAAGAAGCTACGAATCACAAGAGACAAGACACAATGCCTGACTTTAAGCTAAAGATTCATCATTACAGACATGGGGGAAGGAAGATTTGTTGTTGTTGTTGGGTTTTTTTATATGTGGTTTCCTTGTGTAATTAAATTCCTGATCTGATTTAATTAATGTATTTAGATATTCTTCATAAATCTACCACATAACACTAATTTAAATGCAAGATATTCACATTCACAAGATATTTAATTGTACTGTTATATGAGTTACTTGAGAATCCTCAGATGAGCAGGACAAGTCTATTAAAACCTTCTGAATGTGGAACACAGGTCTTTGGCTGTGAAATGCAAAACGAACAAAAACAAAAAATCTGACTGGATTCTGAAACCAGCAGTCCTGATTTCTTTACAGGCACGAGTTGCTGTCAGACAGACATCCTGCAGTCAGAATCAGGAACTCTATTGGCCTCCTGTCAAAAAGCTACAGCAACATGCAGTCTCATTCAAAACTGTTGGGCCTGAATGTCATCATTTGGAGCCTTTGATTAGTTGCAGTCATTCTTTGAGTAAATGCCACTTGGGTGCACATTTTCATAGCTAACAAAAAGTGTCTGATGTCATTCTGTTTGTAAGACTCATTCAGATTGACTGCGTTTTTTTTGAACATACTCAGATACATGTTTAACATAGTTAGGTTTGGAGTAATTTAAGCAACATTTATTGGTTATTACTAACTTTTAGGTTTACATCGTAGTCCTCACAGTACTGTAAATCGATGAACCTGCAACATGTCACGCAAAAATATCCAACATTTACGAGGAATTTAATTGCAAAATCCAATGATTAATAAAACTTTTCCTTTCCGAATTACTATCTTCAGTGCATAAAATTAACACGTGAGCATTCCTAACATGCTGAATTTTCCACATCACTCACCGGTTACATGTGTAATGAGAATCCACAGCTTTAGAGAATCCATGACATTTCTGGATGCTGTGTAATTTCTCATTAAACATGCCAAGGAAATCTCTTAATAATTACAATGACATAATGACTCAATCCGATGGAAAGAAGCGGCAACGTTTGTAATTATTTATTTATTTGTTAGAAGTCCCTGTGTTTAATTAACTTTTCATGTAAAACACCATTCCATTCGAATGATTGTCATGCTCAGGGTAATTTTAACATTCATATCTAAGTCAGTAATGATAGGGAGAAACATTTAACAGATGCTGAAGCCCATTTTCTTTATTTGCTTGCTGTTTTTGATGTACTGTCTTTCATATCGCTCCGCGGATGTGCTTTCAGACGGCAATAAGACTGAAGTTTACGTGATCGGTCTCCATGACAATGAGCTAAACTTGTCAGTCATTTTGATGCAAACCAAGAACAAATGCTTATGATAGCATTACCAATGCTAAAATAGAGGGATATGTCCTAACAAATGCATGCTTCCATAACAGCAGCTGTTACAATGTTGAGGAAATTAAAGAAGAAAAGCTACAAAAATTTTTGTTTTTGAAAACGGAAAACTTCTTCTTGACTATTTACTGACAGTTATTGCTTCTCCTTTGTGTTTGGCTCTAGCTCTCTGTGAACGAAAGTGAGCCCTGCTGTGAGGTGTTTGTTGATGTCATCCCTCTTAGTGCACTCTGTTACAGCTCCGGTACACTGTGTGTCACTACCTGTGCAGATGAGGCCATCATGTTTGTCACACTCTCGGTCGTCGCACTCGCAGTGCTCTCCTGACACCCACCATTCCTGGCGAGAGCAAATGCACTGGCCACAGTGACAGGAACCTGCAATATGCACAAACGCACACATGTACTTTGATTACCACCACCGTTCAGGGTTTTCATATCTTCTTTTCTCCCCTCCCCCCACCTACAGTAAAAGCTGTTTTGTTTAATCCTCTGTGATTTTATTTTCACCCTTTCTTTTTCAGAGAAGATTAATGGAGTCGGTAAGAGTGGACAGAGATATTCCCTGAGGAAACAGCTTCTAATACAGTTTTACCACTAGGATACCAATCCGCCCACACGCTACACTTCCTCTCTCCTCCATCAGTTTACATTTCTTTTCTCTCTAGGGTAGCAACAGAATAATAACATTTTAAGAATTGGGAGAGAGAAGCAAATCTGGCTATCAGCCTTCTTTTCTATTCTTTTTTTATACCCAGGGGTTCAGCTTTCTTTTTTTCCAGCATTCACCTCAGTTTTTCCTTGCATGTGAAGGAAAGAAGGCTCCAGCAGAAAAGGTAAGGCAGGTGTAGAGAGGAGAGGAAGATAAAGTAAAATAGCTAAGGCAGAGGCTGGTCAAGAAAAGAAGATAGATCAGGCTCTTAAAAGAAGTGGAGCATGGAGAATAAAGACGCTCATCTTCATTTCCCAGCCCTTCTTAGCGCTGGCCTCTCTGCGGTCGACATTTTCCTTTGGATTCACTGCTGCACAACAGAGAAGCTCAGCTTTTGTGTGGCGCCATTAGTTGCTTAATGACACAAAATAGAATGCAGTGACGGTATGACGCACTTAATTCTAATACATCTGGCAAAAGTGGGGAAAAGCTGGATTAGCTGCTCTGAAGTCATATTTTTAAACTGAATAATTGTGTTGAAGCTGTCAAAAAATAGAAAAGCGACCTGTGATACCTTGCAACTGCATGAGCAGCCCTTTCGCATTTTGCCACCACAAATTCCAGCACGTTTTCATGAGACGCGTGTGACATACGAAACACAGAGCAGCACATAAAAGCAACACAAACTTCACACGACTGTGAAGTCAGAGAGCGTGGCATAGTTTGACACAGATATATGAAACAGTTTAAACCAGATTCAGGTCAAAATTAATATCCATCTCTGTAAGGATATGGTTGTTTCTGTGTGTTTATTTAGATTTCTGTGTTCTGTGGCGTCTCTGTGTTGTCCCTGTTTCTTCTTTGCCCTGATTGTCTCCCTGTGTATTTAAAGCCACCCGTTTTCCTTGTTCTTTGTCGGGTCCTTGTCTTGTCAAGTACCAATATTGCTACCAGTTGTGAGCATTAGCCTTCTGCTCATCTGTGCTTCCTG